GATGACTGAGTACATAGAAACTACATGAATGTCGCTTCATATCGGACGGGGTATCGAGGATTGATATTTTGGCGTTCATATCAGACGGGGTATAGGGACAACCCGTTTCATCCTCATACTGACGGGATATTGAAGGATGATATATTTAGATTTTATATCAGACGGGGTATAGGGACGGCCGGTTACTTGTCAAGATTAGAACGTTCATGCGTAGTGAGATATCCCTATGGACCCCCATGAATACCAGTAGGCAAATAAAAAGGAAAATTTGTTATTCTTACTTACTTGAATATGAGATTATAATGTTGTTAAACTATTGTCTCTATAGATCAGTTTTGAAAATCTTGCAATGGTAAGTATGCAATAAATGGTTTTATTTATGATAAATAAATTTACTTAAATTAAGAACTCCATTGGTTATTTTTATGATTTTTACCAATCTTCATTTTCTGTATCAATTAGTAGTGTGATATTCTTACTGAGTTAGTATATCTCACCCATTCATTAACTATTTCAGATTACGAGAACCAAGATCCAAATCCCGATCAATAAGAAGATTGTGAGTAGTTCACCATCTAGACTTCTTTATAAGCTAGTGAAGTTCGTTCTAAGATACTCACTTATTTACTTTTCATTTATTTCTTTGATTTTCATTTGTTCTTTTAAAATGGACATTCCCGTATCGCTATTGAATATTTAAACTATTGTGTAATGAATGTATACTCTAACTCTATTATTCCGTCTCCGCATTCAATTCATGTCTTTCTTTTAAGTTCCGGATCGTTTACACATGATATGTCAAGTGGTACAAGATTATTTTAATACATTATTATTATATTTTTTTAGTCAATTCTCACTTATCTAATATCTAAAATTATTCTACTATTGGTTTGATATTTATTTAATTTAATTTTTTAAAAAAAATTTAAAGTGGTATATATATTTTAATTAAAATATTTAAATTCATAGCATATTTACTTTATTTAAAATTTAAATTCAACTTGACTACTATAATTATATTAATACATTAATGAATTAAATTATTATTATACTAACTCATACTATATTTATAAAACTATAAATTCATGAAATCTATATCCCATCCTTGAGTTCTATTCGTGTTGATTCTCATTTCAAATAAATATAAAATAAAATGTAACTGAAATTCCTAACATTATTGTTTTTTTTTCTCATGTAGAGGTGATGTATATTACTTTTACAGAGTACAAAGAGTATAATATATATATGTAAGGGTAATAAAGTAAAATAACAACACAATCAGTTATAATAAAAAAATAACAGAATACTCTAATACTCTCCCTCAAGATGGAGAGTACATGTCAATGATACCCATATTGCCCAATAAACTGTAGAATTGCGGAAAAGAAAGTGCCTTGGTCATTAAATCTGAAATATGATTTCGTGATGATACATGCATAGTTTTCAAGACCCCATCCTGAATTTTTTCTATAATGAATTGACAATCCAACTCAATGTGTTTCGTCATCTCATGATATTCTGGATTAGCTGCAATGTGCAAGGCAGCTTGATTGTCACAATAAAGCAAAGCTGGTCCTTGATGTTTCACTTGCAAGTCCCGCAATAAGTTCAGGATCCACACTATCTCACATGAGGTGTTGACCATAGAACGGTACTCTGCCTCTGCAGAGGATCTAGACACAACCTGTTGCTTTTTTGATTTCAATGAAATAAGTGAGGATCCAAGAAATATACAGTACCTAGTAAGAGATCTTCTGGTGTCAGGGCAGGTACCCCAGTCAGCATTTGAAAAAGCCTTGATTTGAATAGAAGACGAAGCAGGAAAGTGAAGACCTTCTCCCGGTGCCTTTTTAACATATTGAAATATCCGTAGAGTAGCTTGAAGATGACTACTTCGAGGAGCAGCTAGAAACTGGCTCAATCTATTCATTGAATAACATATATCTAGATGAGGAATTATTAAGTACAACAGCTTTCCAATTAATCATCGATAGCCTGTGACATCTTGAAGTGGTTCCCCATCTTCTTTAGACATCTTCAAATTTGATTCCATGGGAATTGAGGAAGGTTTACAAGCTAAATGTCCAGTCTCATTCAATATGTAGCACCCGGAAAGGAGAGAAAAAAAAAAAAGGGGCCACGTCAGCAGCCACGTCAGCAGGCCCGGTCAGCAGTTCCGGCCAACCGGGGCCTGCCACGTGGCAAGACCGCGTCACTTCGAAAGGAGCCACGTTGGCGATCCGCGTGGGTGCGATCCGACGACCCAGATCAATCGCGCGATCGGACGGCCCAGATTCAATCGCACGGACGGTCCAGATTCAATCAAAAATGAATGGCCCAGATTAAAACGAAATGGACGGCTGAGATCAAAAGGCAAGGGGTTATAAATAGAACCCCCACACCAGACCACAAACCCTAGCCGCCCGCCGCTCGCCGGAGAAGACGAACCAGAGGCCGACCGCCGCCACCCGCCGCCGTACCGGAGGAACTTCCGACCGCCGATCGAGGTAAATTTCGTACCCCTGACTCGTTTTTCCACGCTGATTCCTCCTATGGCCAAATCGAGGCCGAAATCCTGGCCAAACGGCCGGAATACGCGGCCGAAGCCCAGCGGCGCCGCCGCGCCCCCTCTCGGTTTTTGCCTCCGACGAGGCCCTTCCCGGCCTCCGTTCGATGCAATTTTTATATCACCGTGATCACCATTCTTTTCTCTACAGGTTGACCGGAGCCGAATCACCAAAACACGAACCTCGCCGAAGAGCCGCCGCACCCAAGAGCGCCGCCGCCGGTAAGCTCCGTTTTTCCGTGATTTTTTGGCCCCCCGAGGGCCCTAGGGTTGTTTTCTCACAAGGACCGATGCGAGTGTGGCCGAATTCGGCCGAAAACAGCCAACCCGAGGTGACTCGCCGCCGCCAGCGGCGGCGCCGTCGCCGGAGCACGGCGGAGCCGCCGTGCCGGAGTTGCGATTTGGGCCGATTGAGGCCCTGGACCTAATTTGGAATTTTTTTTGGAACACGTGCAGGTACCAGTAGTGCGTTTCAGTTCCCCGGGAAAAATTCAGGGAAAATTAGGGACAGCCTGTAGGCGCACCGTGAAGCCGTGTTCGGACCCCGAAACGAGTAAGGACCCCTCACCCTATTTCCTATCACGGTATTAAAGTTCAAAATGATAAAACGGTATTTCTTGAATTAACGAATGTGTGAAATTGCTTAAGGTGGCTAATGGAGCCGAGTCTAGTGTGATTGGTGATTTACTGTTATTTGGCCTGTTTACAGCTTTAAATGCAAAATGA